TTTTTTTTTTTTTTTATTTATTTATTTTGAAGGTAGAGGAGGCTGGGGAGCCCAAACCCCACCCCGAAGGCGGGGCCAGGGCAGAGACAGAGAGGAGCGGAACCACCGGGAATCCAAAGCAGGCTCAAGGCTGAGCTGTCAGTGCAGAGCCAGATGTGGGACTCGAACTCATAAACCATGGACAGGCATGATCTGAGCCAGGTCCAGGCAGCTTAACTGGAGTCACCCAGATGCCCCTCTCAGGTGTCCCTTTTAAAAAAGTAAACAGCCAGGCACTCAGTGATTCTTAGGAAAAAGAAGTTTAAATTAATCTAAGAAAAAAACTACTCACTGATTTTCAAAAAGAACAGAAAGAGAACCTTCCAAACTAATTAGTTTAGCCTTTTTTGCTTTTTACAGTCTCAAACTTGATGTTTTACCTTTCACATGGCATTTTAATCAAGTTATAGGTTGAAAAGGAAGGGTAGCATTTCATTGTTAATAACAAAAAAATGCTATTTCTCTGAGTCTCATAACCATATGCATGTTGTGTTAGGTGTTACACATAAAATTACCTCATAAAAGGGAGAATGTGGGTGTCCAGTTGGTTGAGCCTCCGACTCTTATGTGCTCCGGCTCAGGTGGTGATCTTGCAGTCGTGGGGTCAGGAAGGCTGACCCCACATCAGGCTCCAAGCTCAGTGAGGGGAGCCTGCTTGAGACTCTCCCTCTCTTTCTACCCACCCCACAACCTTTAAACACCTCCCAGCATACTTTCTCTCAAATAAAGATGAAAAAAAATACTACTCATAAGACAAGATCTCTGCCCTTTAGCAGTTTAAAAGGCAACTACAAATAAAGTGCACCACTAATGGTAGGATGCTGAAAAGTGGCTTTTTTGAATCTTTTACATACAATTATAAAAGAATTTCAGATTGTTTCGATCACTTAAGTCCTACCAAAAGCATTACTATATTGCTGGATAATCTACTAAGTCAGAGAATGAAGGCAAAAGAGATCAAATAGGTCTGAGAGCCAGCGACACGACAGTCTAATGCCATCTTTGTCATTTAGGAGCTGTTGATAGCTACAATTTACCTACCTGGCACCCATTCTCAGATCTTTTCATGTTGTCTGCTAGAATATGACACTTAAAACAGACACTCCCTGTGTTTTCTCCTTCCCCTTAACTATACGAACTGAATAGGCACATAGAAAATTTTGGAGAGTAATTCCTGCTAGACTATAAACACTGTGAGAGAAGAGATTCACCCTGCGCATCAACTGGTTTTTTAGGGCATGGATAGCTTATGGCTCTGAGCTGTCAGTGCAGAGCCAGATGTGGGACTCGAACTCATAAACCATGAGATCATGATCTGAGCCAAGGTCAGACGCTTAACTGAGTCACCCAGATGCCCCTCTCAGATTGTCACTTTTAAAGTAAACAATAGGCACTCAGTGATTCTTAGGAAAAAGAAGTTTAAATTAATCTAAGAAAAACTATCACTGATTTTTCAAAAGAACAGAAAGAGACACAAGCTAGTGGATTTAGCCTTTTGCTTTTTACAGTCTCAAACTTGATGTTTTACCTTTCACGCATGGCATTTTAGCAATCCAAGGATTATAGGTTGAAAGGGAAGGAACAGCATTTCATTGTTAATAACAAAAAATGCTATTTCTCTGAGTCTCATAATATGCATGGTTGTGTTAGGTGTTACATAAAATTACTCATAAAAAGGGCATGTGGGTGGCTCAGTTGGTTGAGCCTCCGACTCTTGTATCGGCTCAGGTGGTGATCTTGCAGTCGTGAGGTCAAGGCCCACATCAGGCTCCAAGCTCAGTGAGGAGCCTGCTTGGGATTCTCTCTCTCCCTCTCTTTCTGCCCACCCCCCAACCCAAGCACATACGCACATACTTTCTCTCAAATAAATAAAGATGAAAAAAAATACTACTCATAAGACAAGATCTCTGCCCTTTAGCAGTTTTAAAAAGGCAACAAATAAAGTGCCACTAATGGTAGGATGTGAAACGTGGCTTTTTAGATCAATTTTATACAATTATAAGAATTTCAGATTGTTTCTGATCATAAAGGTCACAAAGGCAGTACTATATTGCTGGATAATCTACTAAGTCAGAGAATGAAGGCAAAGAGAGATCAAATAAGGTCTAGAGAGCCAGCGACACGGCAGTCTAATGCCATCTTTGTCATTTTAGGAGCTGTTGATATAGCTACAATTTCCAGGCCTACCTGGCACCCATTCTCAGATCTTTCATGTTGTCTGCTAGAATATGACACTTAAAACAGACACTCCCTGTGTTTTCTCTACTTCCTTAACTATACGAACTGAATAGGCACATTAGAAAAGTTTGGAGAGTAATTCTCTGCTAGACTATAAACACTGTGAGAGAAGAGATTCACCACTGCACATACATCAACTAGAACAGAACTAGGAGCATGGATAGCTTAGACATTTCTTCGGTGAACCAATACATGCCACACATTGCTCCTTTCCATTTTTCATATGCAAACAATGTATATGGTTCTGAGAATATGCCTTCAGTTCTATATCCTGCTGTTTTCCACTCATAACTTTTCAAACATTTTTCTACATTGTACTCGTCATCAATTTTTGGCAGCTGTGTAAGATCTATCAAATCTACAGTAATGTCTCCTATTGTTAACTAAAGTGGTTTCTGATTTTTCACCATAAAATGATGCCAAGAGACTAGGTTCTCACATAATTTTTTTCATATTTTGAATTGAATTATTTAGGATACATACTTCAGTGGAACCCTGAGAAGTGGGCAGATAGCCAATAATAATAAAATTGATAATCTCAATAGGTAGAGGTAGTTCCTGACTCAAAGAATATTCAGCCTGTTTTCTTGCCCCCCCTTAAAAACTGATGCTGCCGAGGTTGATCCAAAGCCCATCCTATAACTTTTCAAGGCTCACTACAAACATCTTTTGACATAATTGGGATCCTTACCTGACATCTCCCAGGTCCATGAAAATGAAAATGATGTGGCAGAATACTGCTGTGGAATGCTACCAACCAGAAGGTAAAATAAAAATTCTTCACGTGTCTTTGTGGGTTTTTTTTAAGATTTTATTTTTGGGACGCCTGGCTGGCTCAGTTGGTAGAGCATGTGACTCTTGATCTTGGAGTTGGAAGTTCAAGCCCCACATTAGGTGTAGAGACTACTTTAAAAAATTAATTAAATTAAAGATTTTATTTTAAGTAATCTCTACACCCAACGTGGAGCTTGAACTCACAATCCCAAGATCAAGAGTCGCACACTTCACTAAGCCAGCCAGCCGCCTCTGAAATTCTTCATAGATCTAAGGTGAGAGAACAGAGCTGGGAAAGAAGACCTCAAACAGAGCCTTGATGAGCACAGCAATGATGATTATAAAAGTGAACCTATAAAGTGACAGAAGCTCTTTCCTTTTTTTCAAATTTTTTTAATTTTTAGAGACAGAGAATGAGCGGTGGGTGGGTTGGGACAAAGGGAAAGAAATCCCAATTGGGCTCCACTAAGTGCAGAGCCCAACCTGGAGCTGAATCCCACAAGCCTGGGATCATGACCTGAGTTGAAATCAAGAGTTGGACACTCAACTGACTGAGCCACCCAGGTGCCCATCTTTCCTTTTGAAAAGAGAAAGTACTAGAAAAGACATTCCAAACAAGTTATAGGACAGTGACACTGAGGTGACATTAAGAAGACAATTAAAATTAATTTGCCAGTAAATCCACAATTATTTCAAAATAAAAAGTTTAAAGTATCTTTTACCTGAAGCCAACACAGCTTCCCATGACGACACACATTAGCACCTTCTGTTGCCACACTCAGGACACTCTGCTTCTTGATGTGAAGCATCTGGTGAGAAAAAGGAAGAAAATCTCTAGGGAATAAATGTTCCAAGTATGCATCATGAATGGCACAAGCAAAATGGCTAGCAATTAACAAAGTGGGATAATGTTTTCTAAACTTACAAAATTTGACTTACCCAAAACACAAGTCTGCTTCTCTCTCTGTCTCTCTCTCTCTCTCTCACGCACAACACTGAACATTTCTAATCCTCTTTTTATTTTTTGCAAAATTGTTACACAACTGGAAAATAAATCATATTCTAGATGCTAAGAGTTGAAAACTCAGATACCTTTTGTTATCACTGATACTATAGCAAAAGATTTCTATCTTTTTAAAAATGTTTATTTATTTATTTTGAGAGAGAAAGAGAGAGTGTGTGAGTGAACAGGGGGAGGCGCAGAGAGAGACAGAGGGAGAGAGAGAATCCTGAGCAGGCTCTGGGCTGACAGCACAGAGCCCGATGTGGGACTCAATCTCCCGAACCATGAGATTGTGACCTGAGCTGAAATTAAGAGTTGGATACTTAACGACTCAGCCACCCAGGAACCCCCAAAAGAGTTCTGTCCTTATGACCAGATTCCTCATGCAAAGAACACTGCCCTGACACAGGCAATTTACTGTACCAGAAGGGAACTGACATAGTGGCTGAGTCTCACAGTATATACTGTTCAGAATGAGAGAAACAAGAACTCAATAGGTCCCTTAAAGTCTTAGATTCATTAAGTGACTCAAAACTGATGTCACGGTATTCCAAGAACACATGCTGGTCCTTCAATTATCTATAATCTTATCCTATTTCAAAACATTATACACTTCTAAAATCCTTAATCCATAATCTATGAAAACATCTATATGATACAAGATTCTCCCCATTTTACAGGCAGGCAAATTACTCAAGAATAGAAGGACATGGTAACTTTCACTAGCATGATATCTTCCTCTAGAGAGCATAGAGTGTTCTGCATTGAGTATCTTTCATCAATGATTAAAAAAAGGGACTGAATTTTAGTTCCATCCTCAGGCAATAGCAAGAAGGCTGCAGAACTTTGAAAACAAACCTGAATTTCCCTATTGACAAGAATTTCCAACAACCTCTTCAAATTTCCAGGTTCTTACCTCATTTTTTGTTATTATCATTTGACCCTTCAAAGAATATGTTGATATATAAAGAATTCTTATAAGTCAATTTAAAAATGGGCAAAGGAGGGGCACTTGGTTGGCTCAATTGGTAAAGCATGTGATTCTTTGATCTCAGGATCATGAGTTTAAGCCCCAAGTTGGGCGTGAAGCCTATGTAAAAAAAATGGGCAAGGGAATAGACATTTCTCCAAAGAAGACATATAAATATGCAGCAAGCACATGAAAAACGTTCAACATTATTATACATCATGGAAATGTAAGTCAAAACCACAATGAGATACCACTTCACACCACTAAGATGGTTACAATCAAAATGACAGATAACAAGTTTTGGTAAGAATGTGGAGAAATTAGAACCCCCATATCCTGCTGATGGCAATGCGAAATGGTATAGCACCTTTGGAAAACAATGGTCGACTCTCAAAAAGTTAAACACAGAGTTACTAGATGATCCAGAAATTGCACTCGTAAGTATCTATCCCAGAGAAATGAAAATATATGTGCAAACAAAAACTTGTACATGAATGTTCATAGCAGCATTATTCATAATAGCCAAAAAGTAGGAAGAACTCAAACGGTGAAAGGATAAATAAAATATGGTATATTCATATAAAGGAGTATTATTTGGCAATGGAAATAAGTGAAACACTGATAATTGCTATAAAATACATCAACCATGAAAATATGCTAAGCAAAAGAAGCCGGTCATGAATGACTACATATTGTATGACCCCATTTATACAAAATGTCCTAAATAGGCAAATCCATAGAGGCGGAAAAGTTGCCGAGGGCTGGGGACTGGGGAGGAATGGAAGTGACATCTACCAAGTGTAGGGTTTCTTTTGGGGGTATCAAAAATGTCTACGGGTGCCTGGCCTGGCTCAGTTGGTAGAGTGACTCTTGATTGTGAGTTTGAGCCCCACATTGGGTGTAGAGATTACTTTAAAAACAAAAACAAAAAAACTTCAAAAAAAGGAAAATGTTTTCAAATTCTTTGTGACATATTTACAACTCTGTTGATATGCTAAAATCCAGTGAACTATACATTTTAAATTGGTGAATTTTAGGGCATGTGAACTACATCTCATTTAAGTGGTTAAAAAAGAATCCATGGAAAGCTGATGCTCTCCCAATTAAAAAAATGCACCCATGCGCAAGTATAAGCTTGCATCTAAACAGAAAGCTTAATGACTCCCCTGAAGTCCATCTGTGAACTGTACGCTAGGCTGAATAGTTACTGTCATGTCTGAATATATGATTATAGATGCCTAAAAAGAGAATCTAGAATGAATTTTTTTTTTTTTAATTTTTTTTTTTTTTCAACGTTTATTTTATTTTTGGGACAGAGAGAGACAGAGCATGAACGGGGGAGGGGCAGAGAGAGAGGGAGACACAGAATCGGAAACAGGCTCCAGGCTCCGAGCCATCAGCCCAGAGCCCGACGCGGGGCTCGAACTCACGGACCGCGAGATCGTGACCTGGCTGAAGTCGGACGCTTAACCGACTGCGCCACCCAGGCGCCCCTAGAATGAATTTTTTTAAATAGGAGTAAAAAAAAATATCTGACTCACCTCTAAAACTGCCAATGGCTTTTTATCCTACTCAAGTCAAACTCAAAATCCTTATAATGTCCAAAATGCCCTGCCCGATCTTCCACCTGACCCCTTCCATTTCCTATCCTTCTTCACTGTGGTCTTGCATCCCTGCTGTTTGTTCCTTCACACAAGTTAAGTGTGCTTCATCCTCAGAGTCTTTGCACTTGATAATTATGCTTTTTTCAAGTTCTTTACCTAAATATCCAATAGCTAGTTCCCTTCTTTGGGGTCTCTGTTCCAATGTCCTCTCTTCACAGAGGTTTTCTCTGTCCACCCTATATAAAATAGGAACTCCTTGTACTCTGCTCCTCAAACCACACTTCATTTTTCTTCATAGCACTTCTCATATGCAATTGTTTATTTTCTTGCATTAAAATGTAAACTCCCTTAGGGGTGGAACTTTGTCTTTATTATTTATTTTTATTTTTTTAACGTTTATTTATTTTGGAGACAGAGAGAGACAGAGCATGAACAGGGAGGCGTAGAGAGAGGGAGACACAGAATCGAAAGGAGACCAGGCTTATGGTCAGCTAACAGAGAACCGAATTCGGGGCCTAACTCAAGGACCGCCGAGATCATGACCTGGGTGGAGTCAAAGTGACGCTTAACCAACTGACCCGTCTATCTTTTTTTTTTTTTTTTTTTTCAAAGTTTATTTATTTTTGGGACAGAGAGAGACAATATGACATGAACGGGAGGGGCAGGGGTAGAGAGGGAGACACAGAATTCGAAACAGGAATGACATGCTCTGGAGCCATCAAAGCCCAGAAAGCCTGACGGGGCTCGGAACCACAGGACTCCAAGACGTGACCTGGTTGAAGTCGGACGCTTAACCGACTGCGCCACCCAGGCGCCCCGCCCCTATCTTTATTATTATTTACCCCAGACCTCAGAACGAGGCCTGGCATATAGCAGGCACTCATATATTTTGTTGAATTGTTATTTTTTTAAAAATGTTCTTATTTATTTTTGAGACAGAGAGAGACAGAACATGACAAGGGGAGGGTCAGAGAGAGAGGGAGACACAGAATCTGAAGCAGGCTCCAGGCTCTGAGCTGTCAGCACAGAGACCAACACAGGGCTCGAACTCACAGACTGTGAGATCATGACCTGAGCTGAAGTCGGATGCCCAACCCACTGAGCCACCCAGGCGCCCCTATTTTGTTGAGTTATTAGGGAAAATATCAATGATCCTTTAATAAGAGACAAATTTATCAGACATAAACATGATACCTACATTCAGACAATAGCAGGAAGGTCAATACTTACTGCAGCACCAAACTTCTGCTGGAACTGATCAATGACTGTGTATGTCACCTCCTCTTCTTCTGCTGGAGAATGATGGTAATAGGTATGTTTGTCTTCTCTGGCAATAGAATTGCCCTCCCACTAATTTTAGCCATACTCATAAATTCCTCCTCTATTGCAACTCAAAGGTCTAATGTTATTTCATTATCACCTGCATCAGCCCATTACACAGTGAACACTCTAGAGAATAAACAAAAGCCCCACCAATGATAATCTGATGAATTAGATTATTTAATCATCTCCTGTGAAAATCCAGTAATGTTTCCCTCCTCATAGATTTATGTCTTCAATATTTTAAGACATGCCCTTTTTGAAAATCATTATTTTTAATCTTTATTTATTTTTGAGAGAGACAGAGTGGGGGTGGGGGAGGAACAAAGAGAAAGGGAGACACAGAATCCGAAGCAGGCTCCAGGCTCTGAGCTGTCAGCACAAAGCCCAATACAGGGCTCAAACTCACGAACTGCGAGATCCTGACCTGAGCCTAAGTCATACACTCACCTAGACATGTCCTTTTAAAAGGATGCTCATAATAATAATAAAAAAAAAATAACAGTTTAGGGGTGCCTGGGTGGCTCAGTCGGTTAAGCGACCAACTTTCGATTTTGGCTCAGGTCATGATCTCACAGTTTGTGGGTTCAAGCCCTTTGTTGGGCTCTGTGCTGAGAACGTGGAGCCTGTTTGGGATTCTCTCTCTCTCTGCCCCTCCCCTGCTTGTGCAGGCTCTCTCTCTCTAAAAATAAATGAATAAACTTAAAAAAAAATAATGCTTTAAAACAAGTCAGTCCTGGAGATGGGCCATAGCCCATACTTTTGGATTTCTCTGGGTCCTTACGTTTTTAAATCATGCAATTTAAATACTTAGAGGTATAACATAACATACAGTTTCTCTTCATCTCCAACCTCTAAAACTTTGGAGTGGCATAGGACAGTCCACACACCTGTTTTTCTCTATCCATACTCACTCTTCTGGTGATCTCATCTAGTCTCAAGGCTTTTAATATCATCTATGGGCTAACTCTTGCATTTGTATCTCCATGTCAGACCTTTCTCCTCATCTCTAGGCTTACATTCAGACTTCAGTGGACCAAAACTCTTAATCATCTCTCCAAACCTGTTCCAACCAGCATGGTTCTCATCTCAGTTAAATCACTCTCCATACTTCAGGCTACTCAGACCAAAATCCCTGAACTCACCCTTGATTCCCTTCTTTCTCTCACATCCCCATCTAACATGCCAGTACACTGTATTGGCTATGCCTCAACATACATCCAGAATTCCACCACTGTTTAAGATACTGCTACCACTAGGGTCCAAGCTACTGTATCAACTCGTCTTAAAATTATTTCAATAGCCTAACAGGTATTCATGCTTTTACTTTTGTCCTTCTCTCAGTATCTATATAGCATCCAGAATAACTTTGTTAAAACAGAAGTCTGATCATGTTACTCTTCTGCTTGATACTATCCAGTGGGAAGTAGAAATTTTTTTAAATGCCATTTATAATAATATAAAATGTGAAATACTTAGGGATAAATACAGCAAAAGATGTGTAGAACTTATAACTGAGAACTACAAAACACTGCTGAGAAATTAAAGATTTCAGGGATGGATACACTGGGTTAAAAGACTGGAATACTCAATTTTGTTAAGATGCCAATATTCCCCAAACTGATCTACTAATTTCATTGCAATCCCAGTAAAAATTTCAAAGGTTTTTTGGCAACCTGATTCTAAAATTCATGGGGAAGGGGAGCCGGGATGGCTCAGTTGGTTAGGCAACAGACTTCGGCTCAGGTCATGATCTCATAGTTTGTGAGTTAAAGCCCCGCATCCGGCTCTGTGCTGACAGCTCAGAGCCTGGAGCCTACTTCAGATTCTGTGTCTTCCCCTCTCTTTACCCCTCCCCTGCTCACACTCTGTGTCTCTCAATAATAAATAAACATTAAAAAAAATTAAAATTCATGGGGAAATGCAAAGAACATAGTATATCCAAAACAACTCTGAAGAAGAACAAAGTTGGAGAACTAACACTACCTGATTTTAAGATCTATCATCAACCAATAGTAAACAAAACAGTTTTTAAAAAAGCAGTAAACAAAATAGTCTTGTATTGGTATATATACAGAAAAATAGATCAATCTAACAAAATATAGCGTCCAGAAATAAACCTACATATATATAGAAAACTAATTTTTGACAAAGGTGCAAAGGTAATTTTAGAAAATAACAGTCTTTTCAAAAAAGGGTACTGGAACGATTGGCTATTCTCATCCAACAACAAAACAAAACAAAACAAAACAACAAATGCTGATCCATACTTCACATCGTGTACAAAAATTAAGTAAAAATGGGTCCTAGACCTGAATGTAGGCTGAAATCATGAAGCTTCGAGAAGAAAACATAGGAGAAAACCTCTGTGACTGAGGAAAAAACTTCTTGATATCAAAAGTACGATCCATAAAAGAAAAAAATGTATAAATTTTACTTTATCAAAATTAAAAATGTCTGCTCTTTGAGACATACTTTAAGAGAATAAAAAGACAAATTACAGACTTGCAGAAATATTTGTAAGCACATATTTGAGGAAAGATTTATATCCAGCATATATAAAGAACTCCCAACACTGAATAATAATAAAACAACCCAATAAGAAAATGTGCAATAGATATGAACAGACATTTCACCAAAAATATTCAGGCGGAAAATAAGGACACGAAAAGATCCTTAACATTCTTAGTCATTAGAGAAATGATAAAACCAAAAATCTTCCAATGGCTTTTCCTCTCATTTCAGAGTAGAAGCCTGAGTCTCTTCAATGATCTACAATGACCTCCATGATAGGCCTACCCGACTTCATCTATCTTTCTCCTTGCTCCAGCTACACTGATCTTGCTATTCCTTCAAGATCCTGGCACGTTCCTATCTCAGGGCCTTAGTAGTTCTTCTTTTTTCTGCCTAAAAAACATTTCCCTCAGATACACACTGCTCAATCCTTCATCTCCTCAGGCCTTTGCTCAAATGTCACCATTTCAGTGAGGCCTGTCCTAAACACCCTAAAATTGTAAAACCACTCTCTTCACACACTCTTTCCCTTTTTTCTATTTTTTTTCTCCTTAGCATTTGGCACCAGCATACTATATTTTATACTGATTTATCTTATTTAGTGTCTGCTTCCTATAATGGAGCTCAACGAGGGCAGAGATACTACACTTCAGTATCCTCAATGTCTGGTATATAGTACACCCTAAAATATTAAATAAATAAATGAATCACAGTATTTTATCTGAATTCAGAGCCTAGAAGCAATGGCCCTGCTGAGCATTCCATACAGAACCTTGACTCGCAGTTACGTCAACTCTGAAGAGTTCTAGACCACAATAGAGCTAGCCTAGACAATTCAGAGACCCAGTACTTACCTGATGGGCTATACTTGAGATGATTCAGCAGAGAGGTGGTTGGTGACTCAGGGACAGGAGAAGTAGGCTCACATATGTTTAGATCTTCACCTTTCATTTTATCCATCCTTGTTCTTTCTGTATTTAGACTATGCTTACAAAAAACAACACTCAGGTGAACTTGTTCTTTGTTTGCTGATGCCTTACACAGATTTAGCCACACATTGATTTAAAGGTGCCATCAAAAGATAGAAGAAACATCTATTTCTTCTCATTTCTATTACCTCAGGCCATTTGAGGAATTATTTAGATCATGAATTAGAGATAATGCTTTCTACCCTAATGTGTACATTTGGGTAAGATAACAATTAAGAAAATTACTCCATCATACCTAACAGAAGATGCCTTTTCTCTCTCTGCACCTTGTTCCACTTCATCCAGCAGTTCCACTGTAAAATAACCAAATGGATTCCAACAGAGGGTCCAATCTGAAAGCAATTAACCACTCCCCTTCCACCCACAGTCTAATGAGGTATCACAAACAGTAATTGGAAATGAAACGTTAGTCCATAGAGGTCTTCATCAGGCAGCAATAAATAGAGCAGAAAAGCCTACCCAAAGTACTGAAGATACCTAATATCTCCCTGCCAACCTAGCTTCCTTGGTCATTTAGAAGGAATAGAACGCGCTCTACATTTTCTCTTTATCCTTTTGTTCCAGGGCACCTTGGTACTTCTGCAGATTGGTTCCAGAGATTTTCTTTCCTATTCATTCCCACCACTGATACATCTTTCCTCACACTGTGTACTCTTTGGATGTTTTCTCTCAAATCATTCACAGATCTCACAGACTGCTGCCTTAATAAATAGTTCAGTGACAGTAAAAGCAGTAAAAGCTAGACTAGAAATTACCAAAAAAATATGAAAGAAACCTTTCACAGATTCTGAAACAACTTATTTTTAATCTAACAGTGCAGGCAATATTGTTATTATTGATTCTAAGATGTACTTTTTAAACAGCTCTGAAATTGCATATTATTTATAATAAGTGCACATGACAGTTTAATTGGCAGCTTTTTCTTTCTTAGGATGTGAAAAGTAATAGTGCACGGGGGCACCTCGGTGGCTCAGTCGGTTGAGCGTCTGACTTGAGCTCAGGTCATGATCTCGCAGTTGACGAATTCAAGCCCTGCGTCGGGCTCTGTGCTGACAACTCAGAGCCTGGAGCCTGCTTCATATTCTGTGTCTCCCTCTCTCTCTGCCCCTCCCCCACTCATGCTCAGTCTCTGTCTCAAAAATAAAGATAAACATTAAAAAAAATTTTTTTTAATAGTGCACTTTATAATTAATGGCATTTTAGAGTCAATTAAGTATACATAGGTACTAGTCAGAGAAAATCCACTAAGGGGCCATACTATGTTCCAAATGTCTCCTTCCCCTGCACTATCTAGATGTGTTGAGTCTTGGGCAGAGAAAGTGAAAGTCATTGAAAATATTGAGTAGTCAATTATTATTCTTCATTTTATTTTATTTTTTTAATTTAAAAAAAATTTTCTTAATGTTTATTTATTTTTGAGACAGAGAGAGACAGAGCATGAACGGGGGAGGGTCAGAGAGAGGGACCGCGAAATCATGACCTGAGCCGAAGTCGGCCGCTTAACCGACTTAGCCACCCAGGCGCCCCTCATTTTATTTTATTTTTTTAATTTAATGTTTACTTATTTTTGAGAGAGAGAGAGAGAGAGACAGAGCATGAGCAGCAGACAAGCAGACAGTGAGGGAGACACAGAATCTGAAGCAGGCTCCAGGCTCTGAGCTGTCAGCACAGAGCCCAATGTGGGGCTTGAACTCAAGAGCTGTGAGATCATGACCTGAGACAAAGTTGGATGCTCAACCAACTGAGCCACCTAGGAGCCCATTTAAATTTATTGTTTGTTTGAGGTTTTATTTAAATTCTAGTTAGTTATCACTTTAATAATTCTTATTCAAAGTGCTTTTCAGGGAGAGTGGAAAAAGGCTCAATCCGTGGCTGACTGAACCACAGGGAAAAAAAGGAGAAGACTGCCCTTTGAACTTAAAAATTATGAAAAAACGCCAAGTCTTGAGAAAGGATTTAGGAAGAGATGAAATCCACATGTACAGTTCACAAAGCTGGTCAGTGGTTAGCCCTCTCTTGAGTTAGGGAGATAGTAGTAGTGATTCCTTTGCCTCTCTTTGCAAACCCATCCACAGCCTAGCTTTGATCCAGGGCAAAGGCTAATAGAACACAATTAGGAATCCCACTACATAGGGGCACCTGGGTGGCTTAGTTGGTTAAGCATTTGACTCTTGGTTTTGGCTCAGGTAGTAATCTCACAGACTGAGCCCCGTGTCGGGGTCTGTATCGTAAGTGCGGAGCCTGCTTGGGATTCTTTCTCTCCCCCTCTCTCTCAAAATAAAAAAATGAACTTTAAAAAAGGAATGTAGGGGCACCTGGGTGGCTCGGTCGGTTGGGCGTCCGACTTCAGCTCAGGTCATGATCTCGCGGTTTGTGAGTTTGAGCCTCGCACTGAGCTCTGTGCTGACAGCTCAGAGCCTGGAGCCTGGAACCTGCTTTGGATTCTGTGTCTCCCTCTCTCTGCCCCTCCCCTGATCATGATCTGTCTCTTTCTTCTGTCAAAAATAAATAAACATTAAAAAAAAAGAAAGGAATCTAGTTTCAAAAAAAAAAAAAAAAAAAGAATCCCACTATGGGGCACCTGGCTGGCTCAGTTGTTAACATGTGACTCTCAATCTCAGGAAGTGAGTCTGAACCCCATGTTGGGTGTAGAGATTACTTAAAATCTTTTATTTTTTTCAAAGAAAAATCCCACTACTACTACCACCATCACAGCCATTACAAAAAGGTGTTCAAGGGACAGAGAGTGTTTATAGTAGCATACTCAGTGAGAAAGGACAGATAGCTGGCTGCCTTGAAGTAGGGCTAGATTGGCAGTCATTAATTTGGTGAGACTTTCATCTCTCTCAATTCTACTCTCACAAAACAAAGTAATCTTTCAAACAGCAGTAATCTGTCATCTACAGGAGTCCTTCCCTTTCCTCATATCTGCCCCACTGGTAAGAAATGAACAGCTCCACGAGGTCCCCGATCTCCCGTTCTCCCCACATTGATCTTTACTCTTCCTTGGAAGGCTTTCTGCTTTAGACTTCTTGAAAGGAGGAACAGTTCTTGCTCCCCTTTTCTCTTATCCTATTTGGCTTTTTGGAAGCACACTGACCAAAAGAGCTTCCATATCTACTCTTTTTTTGGCAAACAAGTGGACCTACTCTTGCTAAATGGCTTTTGCTGGCAGAAATGAAGAAGAGAGCTGCAAAATAAACAAACAAAAACGCCAAAAAACAGAAAAACAAAACAAAAACAAAATAAAAAAGAGCTTCTTCTTGCAATTCCAAAATCCAAAAATCTCTGAAAACCAAAAATTGTATCTCTTTTTGGCAGCAAAACCTGAACTGACATACTATTTATATTCCTATTTTATCACTTAGGAGGATTATCTGCAGTTTCCCAGTTTTATTACAGAGTTGTTCCCAGACCCACTTCCAATGTTAATGTAATATTAAACAGTATCTAGTTGGCGTTAGGGTTTCCAAAAAATGCAGAATTGTGAATTCTGAAACATTTGGTCCTCAGGTTTCAGATAAGGGACTGCAAATGTACTGTGAATCTGTACTGTTAAATTTAATTGCTGAGCAAGATTCTTTTCTGTTCAGATTCCTAACTGCCTACTGGCTGAGTCTCTAGTAACAAGCAGTAGTGGTCCTCACACTGTAAAATTAAGATGATTAAAATTCTCTAGAACTGTTCTGTTCATAGTACCCTCCGAGAAAGTAAGATGAAGGTCAATTCTCAAATACCAACTTTAAGGGTTCATAAACGCAGGGGCACCTGGGTGGCTCAGTCATTTAAGCATCCGACTTCGGCTCAGGCCATGATCTCATGGTTTGTGAATTTGAGCCCCGCATCAGGCTCTGTGCTGACAGCTCAGAGTCTGGAGCCTGCTTCGGATTCTGTGTCTCCCTCTCTCTCTCTCTCTCTCTCTGCCCCTCCCCCATTCACACTCTGTCTCTGTCTCTCTCTCTCTCTCTCTCAAAAATAAACATTAAAAAATATTTTTAAAATTCATAAATGTAATATTAAAGGCTATACAACATCTCATATGTTTTCAAATGTTGGAATGAGGTGGAGCCGTGAGTTTACTGCTATGCAAATCCCAATCCCTGCAGTCAGGGAACATGCACCTCTCACCGTTCACAATCTCGTGCCCAAAAAACATCTTCACTCCTGGAACACTTCGACCAGTCTCCACATTCTTCACTGTTACAGAAAATGATTCATTTAGTTATTAAAAAAGATAATATTTTCCTAAAATTTTAAGAAAATAATGCCCCCCAAAAGTGCCATATCTGAGTTTTATAAAAATCCTCAAATTATTTTCCCCCAAGAAATGAAGAGTCAATAACAAATTACAAAGCTATAGCCTTGTAACAAGTGGTATAAAGAACAGATTGGGGGGGCCTGGGTGGTTCAGTCGCTTAAGCAACAAACTCTTGGCTTTCGCTCAGGTCCTAATCTCATGGTTCGTGAGTTTGAGCCCTGCGTTGGCCTCCACACCTGGCAGCACGAGGCCTGCTTGGGATTTTCTCTCTTCTCTCTCTGTCCTTCCTCTACTCATACTCTCTGAAAATAAATAAATAAACTTAAAAAAAAAAAAAA